AATGAAGGCTATTACATCTTCTTACCCTCTTTCTTTTGGACACACCAACTGGATATTGACTGAGGGTTATTCATATACAGGCCAGCAGTATTTTTCCCTCTTCCTCTTGCCCCTGGGTTTGGCAGCTTTACAGAAAAGTCAGTTTCTTATCTAATTGGTGTACATTTACTTCCACTCATCAAAATCCCCAAAGCAAAAGGGAAGTTGAGGGCGGTGGGGGGGGGGGGATACTGCATTACCCAATACGCAGAGCTGCTCATCCGTAATAAGACTTGAGACATACTGCGGAAGATGCTAAATAATTTCCCCCCCATCTCTCACCCTATGAGCGCCACAGTGTTTCTAAAAACTATTGGAGAATACACTTTTTGAGGTTTTGATGTAGAGACATACTGTAGCTTCCCCTGCTTGCATTGGCTTACAGTAGTTTCTGGTGCCTGCATTTCCACAGGGATGCATTTTTTCTACTCTGTTTATCTCTCTTGTTCGCTGCAAATGCAGCATCCTTTCTCCTCCGCCAAACAGGCCAGCATGTTGGCTCCTTTGAACATGACAGGCGTCCAGCACCTTGACAAAGATGCTACTGTCACTAGTGCTGTGTTAGGAGCATCAGTGGTTTCTTTGTAGTCTCTCCATATGATAGCTACTATAGTGTTGCAGCGGAGAATGATGGAGTAAGGAGGTTTGAGGGGGGTGAGACAGGGTGTTGCAGAGTGGGATAGCTAATGATGAGGGTGAGGTGAAAGAAGATCCAAGCTTAGCTAAGCAAAAAAGATGAAATCAGACCACAGTTCTACAGTAGTACACCCTGTGTTGATATAAAAATGCTGCATTCAGAAAGGTCCTGCTGTGCTGTTGTTTGTTATTTCATTATTTCAGTACCTTCAATCAACTGTCTCCCTTGGGGCTGAGAACAGAGCAGCCAAATGCAAATAGGACGCATGTACAGGAATGTATAGTGTGTGGTGACGTTAACGGAGACCAGTGGGGGTTTGTGAAATGTGGATGAGTTGGCCAACAATGCACAGTAGTATGTCAAAGAAAGGCCATAAAAAAAGAACGAAAGAAACACACCTTCCTTTTCCACAACACATTTACCCGTTTTAGAAGGCAGAAATCAGCCAGCTCTAAAAATAGACATGAGAGGAGAGAGAAGCTGCGCAGCAGCGGAAGGGGAGCATGCAGGAAGGGGAGGAAGATGGCAGCTGGCAGCGTGAATCAGTGCCTCCCAGACTGGGCCTACGGCCATACTTCATTCTCCCTGGCTAGTGTAGTCCAGCCAGGTCCGGTCGGCCTGCCCTGCCCAGCAGTAGGCCATCAAGGCCATGCAAAAGGGCCACCCAGTCCCGGCAGTGGGCCATCCCTGAGGTGAAATATAACCCAGGTGGCCAGTGTTCTAATAATACACCCTTGGAGGTGAATGTGGGCACAGCATGAGCAGGTTTGACAGTGCTGGGCATAATTAATGAAGGGACGAGAGAGAGAGAAACAGACAGCTACAGTAAAGAGAGCAACAGAGTGAGTTACTGTACAAACAAAGAAAGCGGGGGAAGGAGTAGTGATGTAATGGCATGGCTTGCTTCCCCATTAGGACACAGTTGAAAGTGATCAGATAGTGTTTATATGTGTTGGCAGAACAGGAGGATCCTTATAAGTGAGATTTATCCCTGACTGAGGTGATACTAAGAGGGATTGGCTGCAGGGGCTCAGGCAGCTCGAGGTGAACTTAGCAAACTGCCAGTCGGGACGTCAGATCTGATGGCTGCTTAGAAAGTACACTGTGTTTTGGGTTTACAAATGTGCAAGAGAAGGACTGGCCACAATATTTTTTCAACCTTGGTGTTACTTGTCCCTTATGACCCTTGTTCACAATATTATTTTATTCACCACCCTCTGTTGAGGACATTTGTATTTAACAAATGTCCTCAACAGAAGGTAACAAGTGTGGGTCTTTCCAAAATACTTTTCTGAAACAATTTCCAAGGGAATACTTTGTGTTTACTTTTGATCGACATGAAAGACAAATGTTTGAGATGATTTTTGTTAAGTCCTTTGAAAACCCACAGGAGACTCGTGCTGCTTCCCCAAAATGATGCCCGTCACAAAGTGTATGTTCCCCCAAAATCTCTATAATGGAAGTGGAGAGTAAAATGTATCATAATTGAAGGAAAAACATACAAAATGTCAAACCTTTACTTTAATATCTCTCACCTAGCTCCTCATTTAAAGGGAAAGTACGCTAATTTTACACATCAAAGTCGGTTTACATGTCTTTTAGGGAAAACTACTTCATGTGAAAAAGGCGGGATGAAGCTTTATGTGGCTTCTGTTAAATTGCCTTGAGTTGGTGTTGGTTGTGCTAGAAGACTACAAGCCTGAAAATGAAAACTCTGGGGGCTTAGAGTAGCCCACGCCTCGCCTCTGCTGGAGACTACAGCTGAGGTTCACTGTGTGTAATGTAAAGAAGGTAACAAGTTTCGATAAGAAAAAACTCATAGGATAAAAACAATACCTCTCACTCTGCTACAATGATTTTGATCCTTTTAGAAACTAAATTGTGAGTCATTGTTAAGAGAGTGCACTGTTTAAGAGACAGATCTCTAATGCAGGGTCCTCATCTCAGTTGTCTCAAAGCTTAAAACCCTTTTCCAGCTCATCTACCTCCCTTTATCTACATCTACTCTTTTGTGGTTGGGTTAGATTTAATAACATACGTCAATAAAAGATAATAGACTTTACCTGAATCTACCTCATCAGTGCACTTTTAGAAAACAGTCATTCTCCCTGATACTTTGTTCTCCTGGTGTAGTGCATCTGCTCGAAGCATTAGCTGAATTCTGAGCTCCGGGTATAACTTGTCCTGGTCTGACTGTGATGATCTGATCAGGACAAGCCACTGCTGCTGCTTTGAAGCAGCATGGTGTCCCTGCTCTGTCCTTCTTCTCTCCTCCTCTAACACAACCACACACATCTACAATAAACATTTACTTTTGTTTGCACACACACACACGCACGTAAATAACATCCACCCACACACATTTACTTTTGTTTGCACACACACACGCACATAAATAACATCCACCCACAAAAACACACACCTAAGACACATTTACACTTGCTAAATGCTGTTTTGTACCAAAGACGTTTTACAGCAAGTGAATAATCACAGCTTCAAGTAATTAAAAGTAAAAGACAGGTATATGATTTGCAGTTCTTAAAACAGATGCCGCCTATGGATTCATGTATGTACACATTTTTCAGGCCACACCCA